ATGTGTGATATGCACAAAATCTAGCACAGGCTAATTATAGGCATTTTCTCCCATCCATACTTTGTTTTCTGAAAAAAAATAATAAAGTAGTTTGGCATGGGAGGGTGACATCTTGTGACGGAAAAAAGTAATGGCAGCCTAGACACATCCAATGTGTAATGTTTTAAGCCCCTACGAATGAGCAACCCATTTCCATAATAGTTTTTGCTTCATCCCCAAAGGAAACAGCTCAAGAAAGTATGAGCTGCAGCACAATAAAAGAAAGAATAGGCGGTTAAATAATGTTAAAAATTAAGAGCTGCCGTATAATCAATTTATTCCCACTACTGAATGTGAGAATAGTAAGAGCTTAATTCAAGCCCCCTCTTGAATAGTTAAATTTGAATATGTGCTTTTTAGCTGTTAAAGGGTTTAGTTCATTCTACACTTGTATTGAACCCATGTTTCTTCTTCATAAATCTTAAACTTCTGGAGGGCATTAGGTTAGATAACATGAGTTAATAATGGGGGGAAATTTAACCAGTTTTCAGTTCTGCCAAACATTTACTTAATTGGGACTATTGTTTTTTTATAGAAATTAACATATTGTCCTTTAAACAAATGGTTTATAAATATTTTAAATAAATAAAATACTGCAAAGTCTTCCATTAAACTAAGATCTCTTAACTGATCGTTAAAGATTTATAGTGGTATCCTTTCTACAATTATTCAAAAAATAAGCCTCTGAATTCATGAAGGTTTATTACCATTTATGTTTGTGTACACCTGCAAACCTAGACATGGCTTGGAAATGAAATTGGCTTAATGCCAATCAGCTGATGTTCTGAAAGCATTAGATGAAGAATTGTCATATATATCAATAAATTCAGTTCTGTTTTAGGCCCAGACCCAGTACTCTTCAATATCTTTATAAATGATTTAGATGAGGGGATAGAAGGGGAACTCATCAAATTTGCAGCAATATGAAGCTGGCTCTTTAGAACATAGGCTCAAGATACAAAATGATCTTGAAGACCTGAATCCTATCCAACAAAATGCAATTCAGTGGTGAGAAAGGTAAGGTTTACTAGGGTTGACATGATAGTAGTTTTCCAATATTTGAGGGGTTGTCACTGAGAAGAGGGAATCGTCCCAGTCTCCAAAGCATCTGAAGACAGGATAACAAATAATGGATGGGATCTGACCAAGGAGAGATCCAACCTAGAATTAAGGAGAATTTTTTTTGTCAAGAAGAACAATTAATCAGTGGGATGGCTTACCTCCAGAAATTGTGGGGACTCCATTACTGGAGGATTTTAAAGAAGAGATTGGGCTGGCATTTGTCCAGAAAGGTATAGAATCTCCTGCATGAGCACCAGGTTGGACTAAAAGATCTCCAAAGTCCCTTTCAACTCTGATATTCTGTATTCTATAAATGTTAACAAGAGATATCTAACAGGAATTGGTGACATCTGCAGTTACTATCCAAGTGCCCAGTGGACAGATATGATACTTGGAGAAAAATTTCTATGTTTCTGTACACTAAATATTTACTTCATTTATATGAAGTACTGGTATAAATATGTACTCATAATGCTCTCATATCTGGTTAGTAGGAATTGCTAAGAAGTGAATGCTATTTTAGCATATATATGTTGTACTCAATTCTTAACAGAATGACAGAGTTGGAAGGGACCTTGAAGATCTTCTAGTTCAATCCCCTGCTTAAGCAGGAAACCCTATACCATTCCAGACAAATGGTTGTCCAATCTCTTCTTAAAAGTCTCCAGTGATGGAGCACCCACAACCTCTGGAGACAAACTGGTTGGAAACAGTTGTCACTGATAGGAAAATTCTCCTTAGTTGTAGGTTGCTTAGTTGTAGGCTGCTTCTCTCCTTGATTAGTTTCCAATCATTGTTTCTTGTCTTGCCTTCTGGTGCTTTAGTAAATAGATTGACCCCCTCAAATATTCAAGTTCTTCTTTTGTTCTTAAAGTGTTGAAAAAGTAGGACTATAAAAATATGGACAAAATTTTCCAGGAAGTATCCCCAGTTCTTTCAACAGAAGTAGTACTGAAAGATTTCCCAGTGAGGTATGTCTTGGAATATAGAATACAAAAAGATATGTTCAAGAACAAAAGGCATATAACTGCCTCCCATTTGCTTAGATTCAGTTAGTTATAAATGCACAGGAAGAAAACATCATTTTTCAAAACAAAGTCACCAGTTAAAAGCAGCTATATCATGCATCTGCAGAACAGCAAGGCAGTGATCTATAACTCTAAGTAGAACAACTGTAGAGTAAATTGCCTCAGGTTGGCAAATACATGAACAACAACAGAGTGGATGTTGGCATATAATACATAATTTCAACTGAAAATATATAATACTGTATACATTTCAGAAGAAATCATATTTTCATATTCAAGCCATGCTTACACAGTCAGGAGGGACTAGAGAATGAATTGGTTCCATTAAAATAAGATGGTTAATGCAAATTAATAGGAAAAAAATTGATTGCATTTGACTCAAATACAAAAGAAAGCAAACTGATTGTGTTAGAATGTCAACTCCTACAATCTGAAAGACAAACTATAATTTGATTAAAACATCATGCTAATCTATAATTTTGTTACATATGATTTTCTGAATAAATCACAAATAGCCAAATTCACACAACACATTAAGACCTAAACAATGGCTTACCAATTATCATATAGTGGCTGGGTTTCTCTAATGTACCACGCCAACCATTATGGCTTAGTGCAGTTTGTGACTAGTTTCTCTGAATGCTTACTTACTTCCCATCCATTTTGATAGGGCTACAGCAGAAGTACTTCCTGAGGACATTAGCAACTGCCTCATTCGGCAACCACTTGCAGTTACAACAGTGATAAAAAAGTAACTTGGCGAAAAGATATTAAGTCTATCCATCTGAAGTAAACTAATTGCATACATCATTATTTATATTACACTAAAATACATCAACTTCTTCTGAAAAAGATGTTATAAAATTTTATATTATTAAGCCCAATGATTTGGCTAATGGATGAGAAAAAATATATAACATTTCTCTCAACCCTAGCAGAGCAACTGGTGAATATATGGCTAGGTCTATGCAGTGTTTTTGACAATACAGACTCTAGAGTCTACAGATTGCCATCACATCTTAATAACTTCCCAGTTGGATTACTGTGACACACTGTACATGAGGCTGCCTTTGAAGATAACCCACAAGTTGTTAACTATCTAGAATGCAGCAACATGGCCAATTAAGGGCACACCTTGTGTACCACTACTTTGCAATCTGCATTTATTCCCAATTGGCTTCCAAGTGCAATTCAAGGTGCTGCTGGATATCACTTTTAAAGTTATACATGACAGAAACTGGGTTATCTGTGGGAGCCTCTTTGCTCATTCCAATAGGATGGCAATAATGCAGGTCTCTTCCCTTCATTTGGCAAGAACCAGGAGGTATGTCTTTTTTATTTGCATCTGCTTTTGTTTTAACAAATTATTCAAAGTGGCAAACATATCCCACACATCTTCCTCCTATTTTCCCCACAACAATAATCCAGGCTGACAGTGACTGGTCACCTAGCTGGCTTTCATAGCTAAGGCAGAACTTGAACTCACAGCTTCCTGCTTTCTAGCCTAGTGCTTTAACCATTATATTATTCACTCCCATGCCTGGCCTTTAGAACAGCTTCTCCTTCAACCAATATATGTTGGCCTTCAGAAAAGCCCTAAAAAATGGCTTTTTTCTTGGGCACTGAGGCCAAATTGATTAGCATTCTCACCTGGAGGATATAAGGTAACTTACTGATTTCTTTTGCTGTTTTTAACCATATGGCTTATTTGCTGTTTATTTCATTGTTATTAATTGTACACTATCCAGAGTTGCAATTTTTCAACTTGGTCAGCTATATAAATTCCAAATAAATGCCATGAAGATACAGGTTTCTATCTTATATCTTGATTAACTTCATGCTATATGAGGAATCAAGAGTGACAATAAAAATGAGAGGATAATTGAAGTCTACCAGGAATAAAAAAGGAACCAGTGTATAATGTGAAATGTAATAGGGTGGAATGAGAATCAGCACCAAATTACCTTTACACTTTATTTTTTGTAGTAATTTTTATTAAAGAATATAATTACAACCGTAAAAATTAATATAATTAATGTAGAAAAAGAAAAATAATAAAGAAAAAATATTATTAAAAAGTGGTTTTCCACTTCATCACAGCAACAATTTTAGTAACTTTCTCAAATAATTCACCATCTCTTAAAATACATGAAATGATATTTTCTACTTATATCCCATCTCTTATCTTAAACAAATCTATAAAGCTTCCTCATTTCAGGAATACATTTAACGAATGCAAAACTCAAAAATGTCCTTCATGTTTTAGTGGGTTTTTAAAAAATTATCCCTGAAAGTGTAACACATACCTCTTCAGAACAAAATCCTTTATGTTCAATAGAGGTGAATTCCTAGTATCTGCCCTCAGTTGATTCCAGTAAATCCCATTTAATTCTATAGCATGTGTTTCTGACACTGTAAGATTATACTGCAGTTCAGGTCTTGGTCTCCTAATAATTTTGCTTTCAGAGTGCATATGTTTAAAGCCATACATTTTAATAGCCTATTAAATGATGTTTAATAGGCTATTTTATACTTTATAAAAGTTATTACTGATTGCTAGTAGTTGTCTTACGTTACTTAAAATTGAAGTGATTACATAACAATACAATTTGTAGATCAGAATGAAAGATCAGAATAATTGCTGGCTTCCGACATGAGATACAATTTCTCCTTCCTTCGCCTTCTTACAAATACATCATTTTCTTCCTTTTTCCAAACCGCTGTTGTGCAGCTAACGGATTACACTAATCCACCCGTTCGGGATGAAAAACACCGGAAGTGTGGCGACTTTGGCAATGCAAAGCGAAGTAGGTCAAAGGAAGAGTGGCAAAACTGAACTCGGAAGTATCATAATCATGAAAAGACCATAGAGCTGAAACAGAAAGGAAGTTCAAGATAATTCACGTGTCTGGAGAGAAGGGGGAAATGTCCGCTTCCCTGCTAAGAAAGGGACTGGAACTTCTGGAGACGGCGGGAGGTAACCGAGGGCTGCAGGGTGGCCAAAGGAGAAAAAGGGAGAATCCAGTTTAGGCTAAACAATCCTTCTTGTTTCTCTGTCTGATAATTAGTGTCCGACTCCTCTCAAAGATCAGTGACCGCCGCCCGACCCAATAATCTGTTGAAAAAGAAGAAAAACAAAAGTTCTAGGTCCAAAAGAGACAAGGCCACAATCAAAGGAAGAATTATCAAATCTGCGTTAGGTGAGTAGGGGGAAGATGGAGAATGATGACCAAGTGGGCGACCCTCATCGAATGTATTCGGTATACTTTGATTGTGTCTGACTAATGCAAATGCAAATTTTTGAGCTCTACTTGCATTTTACAGTTGAACAATAAATGCACAACATTGCTTGTAAGTTGCATGGAAATTTCAAATGTATATTTAAGCAAAACAAACTTCCTTTACTCAACTGATATCAATTTATCATCTTTGTATATGATTTTATGCATATAGATATGAGTGACATGCGTGAGAGTTATAGGTTATAACATTCTTTCATTTTTTTTCCTATTAGTGCAACCATATTTTTACTTATTTTATGTACCTCCTTTCCTATCCCATTCAAGATAACTTATAATTTCAAACCATATGCATGCCAAAAATTGACAATATATGCTTCCTCCCAAGTGATTAAAAAAATAATAAAATTATTATTGTTGTATTGTATTGAAAAAATGTGTCCTAAAGGCAGAGCCTCTGCATATCATAACTTCATGATAGTGATGATATTTTTATACTACCTTTTTATAATGTTTATGTACTCAGAATTGTGGTGGTGTGGTCTGTGCCAAAGCTGAAACCTGTTTTGGTCGAGGCACAAAACAAAATACATCTGTTCTAGGCATGAGGCAGCAGTAATTGAGCATGGTGTAGAGGCAAGGGAGAAGAGAAATAAGGAAGTGGCAGTGAAGATGTTTCCCTCTCTTCTCTATTCAGTATCTTCCAGTGTGATATATTCTATTCATCTGCCCATGCCCAATCGTTGCATTTTATGTCTTCTTTCCTTCAGCAATACCAGTGCCCAAGTGTGGGACATAGTACCAAACTTCATGCCCTCTGAACTTCCAGTTCCTTCTGTTCCTTCTATTGCCTGAGCTGCTACTGATGTTCTCATGCTTCGTATTCTATCACTCCATTTGCTGATTCAAGTATTTCCAGCTCTTTCCCTTCTCTCCCACAAATGTATCACAATAGGTCTGACCATGCTCCAAAGTACATTCTTTATTCATTTAATGCAACAAGAAAACCCACAAAGTTTGACCTATGTTCCACATAAGCTGAAAGCATGTTTTGGAGTAGTTACCCATATGTAGATCATGTTTTTTATTATAGCTCCGGTGTTCCTCAGCCATCAGAGCTTGATTTTGTGATTTATATTAGAGACAACCAGGTTGCAGACTATTGCATACAAAATTCTTTGAAATCTTATGAAGTACACAGGTTTTCCCAATAACTGAAGACAATAATAAAAGGCATTGATGACCATTCTATTAGCCAGTAAATATTTTCTGTTGTCCCAAAAAGGAGATAAGTATAAAATCTTCCACAGACTTTGTCATGTGAACAAACTCCCTTAGGAAAAAGACTTTTTTCCCCCTTGATCATCTCATTTATTGCATGAGAAAATTCACATACACCTTGAAACAACTTGATCCCTCCAAAATAGTGGCTGCACAAAATCAAATTAAAACCTGAGGCAAGCAGGATGAATCAGGCTTATAATTGCAATACTAACTCCCTAAAGACAAATACGAATTTATTTCCTCCTGAATTTTATCTGCATACTTTCTTCTTGTATTGTTTTTTCCAGAGGAATATCAGAAACATCAAGCAGCTGATCACTTTAAGAAAAACATGCAGTATATGATGGGTACTCATTGTGTGGCAGACAGTACAATTACTGAAAAGGTCAGTTTGTTACTTGTTGATTGTTTATTTGGGGAGAGGAGATGCTATTAGAAATAAAAGAAAAATACAGCTCTATTTTTATATAATTGACAGCTTTTTGAGAAGGGAGCTTGTTTCTCGGTATAAGCATGTTTCTCGTGTCTCTATTTCCAATTTTTTCTAATGTCCTTGCCAAATACTTTAGATCTTGAGTTTTCAAATTCAATTATTTGAAATTAGTGTTGTGCATTGACCTGGATTCAAAGCACAAATTGTGATTCACAACCCGTATGGGCATACATGTAAATCTGTTGGGAGTACCTTAAATTAAAGTTCTCCCAGGATCATGCATCAGATCTGGAGAATATCTGAGAGTCCAGATAAAAAGCTGTTTTCAAATGCTCCAACAAATACAAATCCTTGAGTGGTGTTTAGGACTGCATACAAGGACCTGTATCTTTCATCAATGTAATCAAATAATCTATTGAGTTTGGTTAAACTCGGAAGGTTTATTATACTACTGATTAATGATTACACTTACATATATTAAAAGATATTGAGTTATTATTTTCCTTTGCATTATTTCTATAGATTTTAACCCAAAACAGAGGGAGGAAAGCTAAAGACCGCCCTGTAGAAAAAGTAAAGAAGAAGAAGCCAGAAGGAACTGTCTTCACTGAAGAAGACTTCCAGAGATTTGAGAGAGAGTATTTTGGAAGAGTTGGAACAATCTGACAAAAGTAACTTGTCCATCATTGCTAAAAATATCAGCATCAGTGAGCAAATGCTTGCCAGTCTTTTTCTGGTTGGGAAGTATGTCTATTATAATAGGCTACAATATTTCTACATATGATATGCTCAGTTGTTGCACTTCATATGGAACGACGGTTTGTGCCCAGAGTGGAGAATCCAGATCTTTGATGCTGAGTTTGGACATATGACTCTTAAGATTATCTTTTGACTCTCTGCTAGAAAAAATATCTTCCCTGAACCAGAAAAAACAGTCTTTTGCCACATTTGTTAGGAGTAAGTTAACTTAAACAAGTAATTTCTGTACATATAGAAGAGAGAATTTGCATTTCATGTTGCAATATCAGAGCTGAAAGGATTGCCTTATTGCATAATTGTAAAACTATTAGTTTTGCTGCAACAAACTAACAATTACACTTTTTAGTAGTAATAATTGATTTAATTTATAGCCAAATATTTCTTTAGTTCTTCATTTATAACAACATAGTAACAGTCAGAATTATAGGCATTTGAAGTGCTTCCACAAGGATATCACAAACAATATTTTTTGCTATACTTAAGATGCAAGTATAGTAAGTCCATTTTTTGTGATACTTTTTAGGAAAGGGATATTCTTGTGATACTCTCTTCTTCTCAAAAAGGAGTCATATAATTTCCTACCATATTCTGTTAGTTACTTTTCAAGTATTTTTTAGTTTATTCAATGTATCATTTGTCATTTCTTTAATAAATGAAAACTTTACAGAAATAAAATGGCCAATTACACCAGACTGTTTAGGCAAAAGTTGTTTGTGAAGTACCAGAAATGGTAAAATTATGTATGATTTCATGATTTATAACTATGCAGTTACTACATAAGAACAGTAATTTGTGCATTTTACTAAAAATAAAAAGGAAATCCTCAACCTCCTTGCGGTAAGCACCCTCATTGTCATCTTGAATAAAACCCACTACTGTTATATCGTCCGCATACTTCACAATATGGTTGGTGGCAAACCTAGCACAACAGTCATGGGTAAACAGGGTGAACAGCAGCAGACTTGGGACGCAGCCCTGAAGAGAACCTGTGCTCAAGAAAATGGTGTTAGAAATATTTGTTCCAGCTCACACATACTGGGGCCTGTCAATAAGAAAATCAAGAATCCAGTTGCACAAAGGAATGTTTAAGCCTAAAAGGCCCAGTTTGTCTACTAGATGCTGGGGAATGATTGTATTAAATGCCGAACTGAAGTCGACAAACAGCATACGCACATGACTATTTCTTTCCTCTAAGTCACGGTTGTCAAACTTGCCACGTCACATGACGTGTTGTGACGTATCGCAACTTTTTTTGCATTGCCGGAGCTGGGGTGGGTGCGGCCTCCGCATGATGCAACCAGCCCACGGGCCAGCAGTTTGACACCCCTGCTCTAAGTGCTCCAAGCTCAAATGGAGAACAGAAGAAATAGCATCCTCTGTAGAGCGATTTGGTCAATAAGCAAACTGAAGCGGGTCAGATGTTGGCAGGAAGTTAGATACAATAATGTCCTTTATCAGCCTCTCAAAGCATTTCATAATGATGGATGTCAGTGCATGACTTTTTTTCATCCCTTACCATTACTAGCATTAAGCTAATTATATTTATCCTCCATTGTAGTTCTTTTCACTAGTAGGTTATCTGAATTATTTGTTTGGATCACACCTTTTATTATTTTTACAAACAATTCAAGATGGTGAACATAATCCACCACACCTTCCTCCTCCTATTTTCCCCATAACATTATGTGATGTAGATTGGGCTAAGTGACCAGACAAAAGTCGTAACTCAGAATAAAGTCGTTTGAAAATACTTCTGTCTGAAAGTGCACAATACTTCAGATTTAAATGGAGTTGGTTACACAGTGACGTGTCTTGTGAAACCCAACCAGTTTGATTAATTTGTAGTTCAGTGTAGTGGATGAACCTAGGCAACTGTATACATTAAGCAGGTAACATAGTTGACAAGGTTACTGTTAACCACTTTAGTATGTTGGACAAACATACTAATATTTGAAGTTGTAGTCCTGAAAAAGCTGTAAGAATGGTGTCTCCTTTTCAAAAGAGTAATTGTGGAATCAATTAGTCTGCTTTCTACTTTTCAAATCATATAAACCAAGTGTTTAACCTTATTAAAGAAATTTATAAAGTTGCCCAACTCACAGTGACTCTGGGAGGCTGAAATTATTACTTCCATTATGTGAAAAGCAGCACATTTTACTAGCTGAACATGCATTTCTGTTGTAAAATTAACCAAATTTTATAGATTTCCCTAACTTATTATCCTAAATTATTCAGATGGGTAAATTATTCTATCATGCTAAGCTACAGTGATTAGTTTTTAGCCAAGCATGCTAGTATATTTTAACCATTAGTTAGCTACAAGTGATGATTCATAGGAAGTCTCTTCTTCTCCCAGCCATTGCCAATGTCCTTTGTCCCCACCCCCTTCCCAAACCAGCCCTGCCACAATTTCAATTCATATTTCAATTCAATTCATATTTGGAACAAATTAGCTCGTCAAATACTTGAAAAACAGGCCAGGGGGCGCTATTTCTGAGTTGCTGCCCCAGACATATAGAATACAGTAAATTCACAGCATTCCTTTTAACATTCCGGAAGCTGCATAGGACAGAATTCATCTGGGAAGCAATATGACTAATTGTCACAATTTTTGAATTTCAGTGTAATTGTTGTATCCCATTTTGCTCTTGTGTTTGGTTATTTTTCCCCATGTATTATAATTTGTATTTTATATCGTTTATTTATGAGTTTAATTAACCTGATTGTGAACATTTTAATGGGTTGCATGCTTTATTGGACTGCTGTAAAACATAGGCTTTATAGAGTCAGCAGTGGTTTTATAGAGTCAGCAATGTAAAATAACAAATACATTTCAGTTTGGGCAAAAGCCACCACAAACAAGAACACTGTGCACATCTTTACACTGAATCATAAATCCAAGCTGCATTCGTTCAAGGTGCAGGACTGTGATCAGTAATAATTTTCTGTTGTTTTAAAGATGTTTCAGCCCCTATTGCCTAGGTAACAGTTCTTGCCTAATTTAATCATAGTCATCTTTTTTACTCTCTACACTAGAACAAAAATAGCAACCAAAAATTGTCAGGAAATGGAGTATATTTTACCTGAAACAAACATGACTTATCGGCAAGTAAAAGCAGGGATGAAATTAAGAGTTACAATAACACTGCAGCACATGCTCATTTGGTACAGTATTGGAACTGCCATCCTGTCATCCGGTTACCTGAAAGCTTATAAACAGCCCTATCTTTGCACTGCATGCGTTGTACCTGAAGGCCCACTTGAGAAAGGGAAACTTGTGGTTATCTCATACAGGTAGTCCTCAAATTAAACAACCATTTGTTTAGTGACCATTTTAAGTTACAACAGCACTGAAAAAGTGACATATGACTGTTTTTCACATTTACGACTGTTGCAGCATCCCCAAGGTCACATGATCAAAATTTGAATGCTTGCCAACTGCATGTATTTATGACGGTACGGTTACATTGTCCCAGGGTCATGTCATCAGTTTGTGACCCTCTAACAAGCAAAGTCAATGGGGAAGCCAGATTCACTTAACCATATTGCTAACTTCAGTGATTCCACAGCTGTGATAAAAAAGGTCATAAAATGGGGCAAAACTCACTTAATAGCTGTCTTGTTTAGCAACAGAAATTTGGGGCTCAACTGTGTTATAACTGGGATATCTGTATCCCAGTAGTATCAGCCTAATGCATTGTATAAAGGAACAGAACTTTGTTATTTGGATATTTTAATATTTAACAAATGTTATCTATAATTAACTTATTTATTTTTATAGCTTTTTATTTTATAGTTAGCTATTATCTACAATTAGCTTTAGCATTTAATGATCACAATGTGCTGAAGCTAATTGTTAACAAGACAGTTGTAAGAAGAGCAGTCTCCAAATTATTGAAAGACTTAAAACAATCTCAGAATCACTGGTACCTATCATTTATACATTAAATTTCAACAAATACAAAACAATTGCTTAAGTATTAGTCAATTTATGTTATTCATAAACTTATTAAGTTATTGTATTTAGAAAATGGCATTCCACATTTACTTGTGGATCAAAATAACTGATAAGTTCAGACTGTGCTTTAAATCAAATTGAATTTTAACTTTAATGATAGAATTTTGGATAAGATTGTACAAATTTTTCTAGGCATCCTGCGCATATAAAGTTGGTCCTGTGTTAATCTACAGTTCAGATATTCTGATCCATTTGCAGAAAAAAATGAATTTTGTTCCAGTTATATTGTAGCATGAAAAAGTAGTTTTGGGGGGAGTGCAGAAAAAAAAGCAAGGATAGTGATCATGGTTGAGACAAGATAGGGAACAAGTAGAATATACCACACTAGAAGCATATTCCTTGTGGCCAAGACATTTAAAGGCTTACAAACTTGTACTTTAGCAGAAACCAAGGTGAAGTAAAGCATGTATGTTAAAAAGAAGCAGTTGCATGGAAAGCAAATGTTATATTGGGGCTTGTTCCATATTGCCAAGATACCATTAAAACATTTGGGCTAATCTTTTCATAGCGACAGCAGCTAAGATGGGACAGAACGGGCCACAAAGTACACACTTGCTCTAATTGTCCTACATATCATTCTGGAGTGCCATCAGATTATTGCAGCCTAAAGCATTCTGGGTTTTCTCCTGGCATGTATTTTTATTTACAAAATGCATATAGCCACCAATCTCATCAAAGGCAACTGCACAGCACATTATAGTTGGGACACCGCAACAGATAGAAGCATTAAAATCCATATTAACACTAAAAAAATTCTAGGTGAAAAAGAGAATGGTTATAATAATGGAACCATCTAAGCAGGTCTCCAGCCTCCTAAGAACCCAAGTCTGATGACATAATCAGGTCTTTCAAAGTATCAAGGGAAGCCATCATTACATTAATACCCCAAAAGGAATCACTTCTTAAACCTAACTAAACACTATATATCTATTTAGTATTGGCTACCAAAACCACTGCAAATTCTTACCTAAAAGATGGTTTTGAAAATTATAGAATACCCAAAACAAGCATTTTCTTGATGCAGTTTTTGATCACCTTAATTATCCCTTAAATTTTTATTAGTATAGATTTTGATGAGAATTTTACTACCATCTTAGGGTAATATATTCAGTAAGGAGCATCTTTGTTTTCAATTTTTTCCAAGTAAGCAGAAGATTCATGTGGAATGCACTTTTAGTCCTAAGAGCTGGTCCAGGCCAGAATTGTATATAAAAGTGAACTCTATGTCAAAATTCACTAACATAAAATCGCCTTTTGAATATTCAATTAGTCATTTACAGGATCATGCTAATGTTATGGATGCTATGAATTGTTACATGGAACATAGTTGCTGGACCTGCTCTCTGATTTGACTCAATTATGTTAATCAACACGTTACAAAGTTTGAACTGTATATAATTTTTCCTAAGGTTCTTTGCATCTTGTACCTTTGAGACTGTTCTTATGCATAGATAATAATCTACCTTTCCGGCTCAGGTGCTGTTTTGACCATGGGAACACAAGAACACCTTGTGATCTATGAACAAAAGATGCACATTATTCCTATTGTTTATACTGGTCTTGGAAGTTTTGAAGCGATTAAGGCAAGATGAGGGATAAGTGTAAATATTAAAAAAGACAAACTGAGAGCATGATGTGGTATTAGTGCAAGATCCATTTAAAAGGATAAGAGTTGATAATAAAGCTACACATTTGGTACACTGGCTCAACAATCGTCCAAAGATGTTAAAAATATGAATCCACAGGTTCAAGTAAAATTGAGTAGAATGTATTTAAGATTGAGAAAAAAGTAAA